AGAGTTGGCATACTCTAAAAAACTTTTTCCAAAAAAAGTAAGAAAAATATGTAGTTTAATGTTTGACAATGACTGATTTATCAAAGTCATTGTCAAATGACTTGAGTGATTGAGTGTCTCAATCACTCTCCATGTGCTTTTCCACCCAAGTCATTGTCAAATGACAATGATAAAGTCATTGTCAAATGACAATGACTTTGATAAATCAAGTCATTTATCAATAATATATATACAAAATAAATACAAGAAAATATTTTTTTTCTTGTCTTGAAATGTTAAATGTTATGGAATGATGTAAATATGTTCTTTAATAAAACACTGTAAAAGTGTGTGTTTGTTCATCAATGGCAATATAAAAACTATCAGAATCATTTCTAGCCAATAAAAACATGGTGCTCTTTATTCAGAAATCCCCCAAAACAATTAAATAATCACATCAAAAGTTAGAAACCCTGTCTTTAGTCCTTTCTTTGATTACCAAATATATTAATGTGTGTGAGAAAATATGTCAATGACAGGTACTAATTTAAAATACTTTGTAGAACGGCACTTTCTGAAGTTCGGTCCATTTACTTGTATTAGCTTACTGGCAGAGAAGCCACATTCAATATGGCGGACGCTGTGACGTATCGCAGCAATGGGCCGACCCGCTCCATAAGGCATCTACGTATTCATGTCTATGAATCAGTTTGCTTCAAAACAACCATGATTTCCTGCTTCCAAATAAACATGGCACCAGGAGGCAGTTACAGAAGTTGAACTACTTTTAAGTAAAAGAATATTAGAATATAAACTTATGTTGATTAGAATCATATCAAAGCATGTATGTGGATATATTGATGCATTATTTGTTACAGGCTGTTTTGTGTGTGTCCCTAAATCTCTGTTTTCCAATGTACACACAAAAAAACCCACAAATACTATTGTTTTTCAAATCTCCATTTTGGTTTTATAAATTATTAATTTTTAGTGATAGTAAACTGAGCTTTTGTGTGGATGAAAGGCCAAAATGCATAAAAAATTGCTTTCCCAGACATCCAGCTTTGTGTGGAGTAGATCTTACTGTTTAGCATAATGTTCTATTGGGTTCTGTTGTGTATTTGATGCCTTGCAGTGCCTTCAAGTGCTCCAATAGCACATCTTTAAGGTCTTTAGGTATTTGTTTGTTTTTCAATACTGAATACAGTATGGCTGTATGTCTTCAGGAACCTGGGCTTAATGGATGGTATCTTGTTGAATCAATGCTACAAACTGAAAGTGATGGTGGAAATGATCCATCAAAGTGCTAAGCATGACATTTTATACAGCCTTGGTTTTGTCTAAGATTATCTACTTTTATATGTGGAAGCTTCCATTTTCAGGGCATGTTTTGAGATGGTGCTTCCACTTTAAGCATGTTCAAAAGCTACTGTTAAATCCTCATCATGACATGGATGATCCTTAACACAATCCTTGGACCATATCAGAAAAATATTTGCTGAATATTAAACAATATTGATTCTGATTTACATAAATTTTCTTGAGACCTTTCCTTTTTTACAATTACAAATGTCTCAGTCACTCTCCATGCGCTTTAGCACCTAAGCTACTAAAAATATACATCATACCTGGGTCTTAAGAGCAGGAATGACTCCATAGCATGTTAGTAACACTTTAAATATTGTACCCAATATGGTACACAGTGCAGTCACAAATATAATACATCTCTACTGGGCACCTAGCTGAAAGGTAAACAATGTATGGCTTTCAAGCAAAAATAACAGATAGTCATGGTTTGCGTATACAAACATATATTCTTTTGGTTCCTTTGTGTGTACTCACTGTATTCTGTGAGCTGTGTTGACTCCATGCACATGGTCTGTGGGTGATTGAGATTTCATAGCCATGCAGTACTGATTGCCTACATTTCACAAGACAAATTCCTTCATTTCCCACAATTCGAATGGATCAACATGTTTGGTGAGCTAGTTGGACACCTAGCTTCACAAAGTCTAGGATGATACGGTTAATTTGTTATGCCTTTATTGGTGCTTGATAACTTTAGAAGGACATTTTGAAGAGCACTATCCACACACCGAAAGCATGGCAGTGGGACCAAAATTCTTTGGAGGTGTTTTGCAGTGAATTATATAGGCAACCTAATCAAAGTAAATAGCATCATGATTATGAACAAAGAAGATATCAAAATTGTCAAGATTTGCAGAAAAACTTTAGCTTGGGTAACACTGGAAATTTCAGTTACTCAAAACTCAAAGCTAAATGGCATAAAAATAACTAGTTAGCACACAAACATAATATGTTTAATATTATTAAAGTTTTGAAGATCTGACTGTGGTTGGGCCGCAGTCCTTAGCTTCCACCAATCTTCAGCTGGTGGGAGCTAAAGATTGGGGTGATGGCAAAGAGCCCATCTAACTTCAAAGATTAGAGCTCATCACAATGGCTGAATAATTAAGGATTCCAGGGGAGAAATGCAAAAAGCATGTCAACAATTTATAAGAAGCATTTGAGCGGCTTTAATGGCAGTTGAGATTTTGCCATTGATTATTGAGAAGGGTATGAATAATGTTAATAATAATAATAATAATAAATTTTATTTGTAACGCACCTTATATTTCAAAGAAATCTCAAAGTGTTAGATATTATTATTATTATAGATAAGCTAACTTTTTTTTTTCTTTTTTCAAAATTATAGCCCTTGGACAATCGGAAGTAAACTTCTTGGTTGAAAGAAAACAACTTTAAATCTAAGTCTGTCATTAAACTGTCATCAGTTTTGATCATAACTGTATATTGGTGTCATGTTATTTTGGCGTTAAGAACCTTTGGGAAAAAAGCATGTAATTTATGACATGAAAACTTTCTAAGAAAAATTACAAAATAACCCTAACTCAGCCCAGAAAGCCCAAATAGAAAACCAAAGCCCAAAAGCATTCAGACACAAGGAAGTAGGAAATCCCTCCTTAGGTCAGTGGGCAAACGTAAAGAGGGGCTGATGTTTGGACAGGCTTCCACAACTGTGATCATACAGAGTTTCCAACAAAAGAGCTTTAAATATAGTTGAATGTTGAGGGGAAAAAAGCATCTGCTTTTTGTCATTCAGTGTTTAAACCAGATGTCTAGCAAAACCAACAGCCAAAGAACAACTGTCTGGAGGACTTATTTTGTACTAAAAGGACTTCAATCTATTTGAAGAACAAAGCTAGCAAAAACCTGGTGGCCATGTCAGTAGAAGATTAACCCTGTGCCTTTTATACAAGAGAAAACATACATGCCGCCCTGCCGTTTGGCATTACTATCTGTGAAAAGAGCACCATTCTTGAGAGAGAATCAAACTGGTCTCCTCAGTAGTTATCAGTGAGAGCAAACTCACAACTTCTTTTGAGCAGAGCTGTTCATTGGGATGAGGTAGTCTTTTCAACAGCTAGACTTTAAAAGTGAAGAAAGAGGCAATGAGGAGAAAGGAAGAAATGCAGTAGTTCCAATGATGGGGGCCATTTGTCCTCGGGTCTAACCTCCAGTCCTGTTGTAAATATTTCACCAACACCCACCAACCCATTAAAGTCGTCTAGACGACGGGTTCTGTTACAGCCCTGCCCAACCACCACTTAGACCTTTTATTTTGTGTATCGGCTGGGGACCCCAGAGGCCCTTAGCAGAACTCATTCAGAACTTCAGTGCACTCCTGCACTGCAGTTAACCTGCTTCCCCTCCTCGGCTGCCTGACATCAATAAGCTGTGGCAACAGCACTTAGCATCTCTTGGCTATCAATATTAAAGAGATGAGTAGAGTGACCCTATACAAATCCCATGACAAAGGGGTTTTTTACACGTGGTGCTCTGGTAGACTTGGTTTATTATTTATATTTGATTTGTATAGCATTTTTATAACAACTGAAGATACTATACTATACATTATACTATGTGGTTTGAAAATGCTTAATACTGGCCAAATACATGAAGTTTAAAGACTTTAAAGGTGGAACGATATGAGCACTGTGTGATCAGGGCAGACGGCACTAGAAAAAACCATTCAGTGATGTAGTGCATCTGGAATAGTCACCTTTGAAGTGTGGAAGCTCTTGCTTCTCTTTGGATCGGAGGACAAAGACGTCAGTGAGTTGTTGGGAAGTGCTGGCAGCTTGAGGTGCTGGCTGAACAGAAAGGTTGATCCTTCCTGCATTACCATCACCTGCCAGAGAAAAATATAACTGGATATTTTGGCTGTGAAGTACGACTTGGAGAGACACTCCTCATTTATCTGTTCAGATAATATTTGAATATTTGACTTAAATATGTAAATCTTTGAGTAAATGCCTTGATTATACCTGAATTTATTTTTTTGCTCATAATTTTATGTTTGCACAAAGTTCTACACAGATATAAAATAAAACAAAAAGCTAGGAGGTAATTTCAAAGAAACTACGAAATTCCATATGTAACATTTGGTAGGATTTTACTTAAACTCTGAAAAAGTTGGGAGTGAAAGAAAGAAGTTAAAAAGCACTTTTTAACTTGCAAAAAATTAATTAAACATACAGAACAACCAGAAAGCACTCACACATATTCAATGTATACTCTGCTGTCCTTTTCTAGATCTACAGAGTATAAATTGGTTGGACAGTCGGAGATGCAGTTGCAGGGTATCGTTAGCGAGGCCCTGTTCTAATTGTTGCATATATCATCCAACCAGATTTTTCCTTGGCTAGGAAACCAAAGTAAGTCCGGTGTATTTTGACCGTTATTCCTTTTAACACTACACACAACTATGATTTCAATAAATCCATCTAAAGGATAATCAGTGGAAATTACACATATATATATATATATATATATATATA